AACTTTAGGGTTTTTTTGTTCTTCTTTCTCTAATTGCTTTAGGTTTAAGGTTAAGTTGTCTTTTTGAGATGTTTCTTGTTTCTTAAGGTAGGATTGCATTTGTATAAACTTCCCTCTTAAAAGTGCTTTTGCTGCATCCCATAGGTTTTGGGTCATTGTGTTTTCATTGTCATTTGTTTCTAGGTATTTTCTGATTTCCTTTTTGATTTCTTCAGTGATCTCTTGGTTATTAAGTAGTGTATTGTTTATCCTCCATGTGTTTGTATTTTTTACAGGTTTTCTTCCTGTAATTGATATCTAGTCTCATAACGTTGTGGTCAGAAAAGTTTCTTGATACGATTTCAATTTTCTTAATTTTACCAAGGCTTGACTTGTGACCCAAGATATGATCTATCCTGGAGAATGTTCCATGAGCACTTGAGAAAAAAAGTGTATTCTGTTGTTTTTGCATAGAATGTCCTATAAATATCGGTTAAGTCCATCTTGTTTAATGTATCATTAAAACTTGTGTTTCCTTATTTATTTTCATTTTGGATGATCTGTCTGTTGGTGAAAGTGGGGTGTTAAAGTCCCCTACTATGATTGTGTTACTGTCGATTTCCCCTTTTATGGCTGTTAGTATTTGCCTTATGTATTGAGGTGCTCCTATTTTTGGAGCAGAGATATTTACAATTGTTATATCCTCTTCTTGGGTTGATCCCTTGATCATTATGTAGTGTCCTTCCTTGTCTCTTGTAATAGTCTTTATTTTAAAGTCTATTTTGTCTGATAGGAGAATTGCTACTCCAGCTTTCTTTTGATTTCCATTTGCATGGAATATCTTTTTCCATCTCCTCACTCTGACTGTATGTGTCCCTACGTCTGAAGTGGGTCTCTTGTAGACAGGATATATGCGGGCCTTGTTTTGTATCCATTCAGCCAGTCTATTTTTTTTGGTTGGAGCATTTAATCCATTTACATTTAAGGTAATTATCAATATGTATGTTCCTATTACCATTTTCTTAATTGTTTTGGGTTTGCTATTGTATGTCTTTTCCTTCTCTTGTGTTTCCTGCCTAGATGAGTTCCTTTAGCATTTGTTGTAAAGCTGGTTTGGTGGTGTTGAATTGTCTTAGCTTTTACCTGTCTGTAAAGGTTTTAATTTCTCTCTCTAATCTGAATGAGATCCTTACTGGGCAGAGTAATCTTGGTTGTAGGTTTTTCCCTTTCATCACTTTAAATATGTCCTGCCACTCCCTTCTCGCTTGCAGAGTTTCTGCTGAAAGATCAGCTGTTAACCTTATGGGGATTCCCTTGTATGTTATTTGTTGTTTTTCCCTTGCTGCTTTTAATATTTTTTGTTTGTATTTAATTTTTGATAGTGTGATTAATATGTGTCTTGGTGTGTTTCTCCTTGGATTTATCCTGTATAGGGCTCTCTGTGCTTCCTGGACTTAAGTATTTCCTTTCCCATACTAGGGAAGTTTTCAACTATAATCTCTTCAAATATTTTCTCAGTCCCTTTCTTTTTCTCTTCTTCTTCTGGGACCCCTATAATTCAAATGTTGGTGTGTTTAATATTGTCCCAGAGATCTCTGAGACTGTTCTCAATTCTTTTCATTGTTTTTTCTTTATTCTGCTCTGCAGTAGTTATTTCCACTATTTTATCTTCCAGGTCACTTATCCATTCTTCTGCCTCAGTTATTCTGCTATTGATCCCTTCTAGAGAATTTTTAATTTCATTTATTATGTTGTTCATGATTGTTTCTTTGCTCTTTAGTTCTTCTAGGTCCTCATTAAACATTTCTTGTATTTTGTCTATTCTATTTCCAAGATTTTGGATCACCTTTACTATCATTATTCTGAGTGCTTTTTCAGGTAGACTGTCTATTTCCTCTTCATTTGTTACGTGTGGTGGGTTTTTACCTTGCTCCTTCATCTTTCTTTGTCTTCTCATTTTGCATAACTTACTGGGTTTGGGATCTCCTTTTGCAGGTGGCAGGTTCGTAGTTCCCATTGTTTTTTGTGTCTGCCCCCTGTGGCTAAGGTTGGTTCAGTGGGTTGTGTAGGCTTCCTGGTGGAGGGGACTGGTGCCTGTGTTCTGGTGGATGAGGCTGGATCTTGTCTTTCTGGTGGGCAGGTCCACCTCTGGTGGTGTGTTTTGGGGTGTACGTGACCTTATTATGAGTTTAGGCAGCCTCTCTGCTAATGGATGGTGTTGTTTTCCTGTCTTGCTAGTTGTTTGGCATAGAGTGTCCAGCACTGTAGCTTGCTGGTCGTTGAGTGGAGCTGCTTCTTGGCATTGAGATGGAGATCTCTGGGAGATTTTCACCGTTTGATATTACGTGGAGCTGGGAGGTCTCTTGTGGACCAATGTCTTGAACTTGGCTCTCCCACCTCAGAGGCACAGCCCTGATGCCTGGCTGGAGCACCAAGAGCCTGTCATCCACACAGCTCAGAATAAAAGGGAGAGAGAGAGAGAGAGAGAAAGAAGTAAAATTAAATTAAATTATATTAAAATAAAAAATAATTATTATAAAATTTTTTTAAGTAATTAGAAAAAAAGAAAGAATAGCCAAACCAAAAAACAAATCCACCAATGATAACAAGCACTGAAAACTTCACTAAAAAACAAAAAGAAACGGACACACAGAACCCTAGGACAAATGGTAAAAGCAAAGCTATACAGACAAAATCACACACAGAAGCATGCATACACACTCACAAAAAGGAAAAAGGGAAAAAACTATATATATAATTGCTCCCACAGTCCACCTCCTCAATTTGGGATGATTCATTGTCTATTCAGGTATTCCACAGATGCGGTACATCAAGTTAACTGTGGTGATTTCATCCGCTGCTCCTGAAGCTGCTGGGAGAGATTTCCCTTTCTCTTCTCTGTTCACACAGCTCTCGGTGTTCAGCTTTGGATTTGGACCCGCCTCTGCATGTAGGTCGCCTGAGGGCGTCTGTTCTTCGCTCAGACAGGACTGGGTTAAAGGAGCAGATTCGGGGGCTCTGGCTCACTCAGGCCGGGGGGAGGGAGGGGTACGGATGCGGTTCGAGCCTGCGGCGGCCGAGGCCAACGGGACGTTGCAGCAGCCTGATGCGCGCCGTGCGTTCTCCCGGCGAAGTTGTCCCTGGATCACAGGACCCTGGCAGTGGTGGGCTGCACAGGCTCCGGGTGTGTGTGTGTGTGTGTGTGTGTGTGGATAGTGACCTGTGTTTGCACACAGGCTTCTTGCTGGCGGCAGCAGCAGCCTTAGCGTCTCATGCCCATCTCTGGGGTCCGTGCTGATAGCCGCGGCTCGCACCTGTCTCTGGAGCTCCTTTAAGCGGCGCTCTTAATCCCCTCTCGTCGCGCATCAGGAAACAAAGAGGGAAGAAAAAGCCTCTTGTGTCTTTGGCAGCTCCAGACCTTTTCCCGGACTCCCTCCCAGCTAGCCGGGGTGCACTAACCCCCTGCAGGCTGTGTTCACGCCGCCAGTCCTCTCCCTGGGATCTGACCAAAGCCCGAGCCTCAGCTCCCAGCCCCACCCGCCCCAGCGGGTGAGCAGAGAAGCCTCTCGGGCTGGTGAGTGCAGGTCAGCACCGATCCTCTGTGCGGGAATCTCCCCACTTTGCCCTCCGCACCCCTGTGGCCGCGCTCTCCTCCGCGGCTCCGAAGCTTCCCCCTCCGCCACCCGCAGTCTCTGCCCACGAAGGGGCTTCCTAGTGTGTGGAAACCTTTCCTCCTTCACAGCTCCCTCCCATTTTTTGCGGTACGCAGGCCTCTCACTGTTGTGGCCTCTCCCGTTGCAGAGCACAGGCTCCGGACGTGCAGGCTCAGCAGCCATGGCTCATGGGCCCAGCCGCTCCGCGGCATGTGGGATCTTCCCGGACCGGGGCACGAACCCGTGTCCCCTGCATCGGCAGGCGGACTCTCAACCACTGCGCCACCAGGGAAGCCCCCTATTCTTTTGTCTCCATTTTTTCTTTTTTCTTTTGCCCTACACAGGTACGTGGGGAGTTTCTTGCCTTTTGGGAGGTCTGAGGTCTTCTGCCAGCGTTCAGTAGGTGTTCTGTAGGAGTTGTTCTACATGAAGATGTATTTCTGATATATCTGTGGGGAGGAAGGTGATCTCCGTGTCTTACTCTTCCACCATCTTGAAGCTCCTCCTGCTTATTTACTTTTGTAAATAAGCTCAGTTGAAGTTTCCTGTAGTAGATGAAATTCCAAAGACTGGACTTCTTTGTGTCCATAGCAACCTGAAACTCAGTTGCCCCTTCTGTAAAATGTGAATAACCATTTCTGCCCTGCCCATTGCTGGGTTGTGGTAAGCATGTTCAAGGCAGCTCTGTGTGCGCTCCTTACACTTTAAAGTGGAAGGAAGCTCCGGCCTTGCTAAGGAAGCAGAGTCCCTCGGTGGGTCATTTTGGATGCAAAACTCTCTACTTGTTATCCTGACCAAAGTTATCTTGTTAATTACAAGATCAAGTCATCCTCATACCAGAAAGTAGGTGTGTCTGGTTTTTTGTTTTGTTTTGTTTTGTTTTTTCCGGTACGCGGGCCTCTCACTGTTGCGGCCTCTCCCGTTGCGGAGCACAGGCTCCGGACGCGCAGGCTCAGCAGCCATGGCTCACGGGCGCAGCCGCTCCGCGGCATGTGGGATCTTCCCGGACCGGGGCACGAACCTGCGTCCCCTGCACCGGCAGGCGGACTCTCCACCACTGCGCCACCAGGGAAACCCTGTCTGTGTTTTATACAGGATGAATATCCACCCAATCACCATCTCTGCTCCTGTCTAGTTGTGAGAAAGAGAGAATTGCAAAAATGTGAGAAAAATCCTTTGACCACTCTTTGCCCTCTGCCTCTGTTGCTTGAGATTATAAACCAATCGTCTTTCCCTTGTTTTATAAACAATTAAAATTAATAAATACAAATAAAGGAAAGGGAAAAAAATGTCCCCCACATCTCCCTTCCAAACCTTTTCTCCTGATGGTGGGAACTGATGCCACCTTGTTTACCCCTTTTCTGCCAGGTCGGTGGCCACACGATGCTGCCCATTCGCTGGATGCCTCCAGAGAGCATCATGTACAGGAAGTTCACCACCGAAAGTGACGTCTGGAGCCTGGGGGTCGTGTTGTGGGAGATCTTCACCTATGGCAAACAGCCCTGGTACCAGCTGTCAAACAATGAGGTGAGTGGCGGGTGGCACCAAGACCCCTAGAGAGCTGACACAGAGAGGCATCCCCGGGCTGGAAGTCAGGACACGCTCCCATGTGGCTTTGTTGGGAGAAGCACCTCCCAAACGGCCTGCCATGTACCTAAATTTCATGGCCAAATTATAGTCACTCTCCAAATTTAAGAGTTCTAGAAAGAGAAAAGCACAGCATTTGCTGACGCGCCTGTGATCCTCTGGCACTGGGACCCAGGAGTCATTTCGTGCTATTCATCTAGTAAATTGATAGCAGATGTGGCATTCCGGTACCCTTAGAGTCCAGCTAGCTTTTTGGTATTATTCCAATAAGGTTTCAAGATTCTCTCCTTTTTGCATATTTCACTAGAACATTTACTTCTAGTGAAAAACTCAAACATTTTATTTTCCTTGTCTAATCTGTTTGCAAATATGTCTATATTTGAGGCATCACTTCTTGGTCAAGCACCTCACTTTTTCAGGCCCACGTCTGTCTTTTATCCAATTCCATTATCCAAAATGACTGCTCATTTCTGTACCCTGGGGTTCCCTGGCCAGTTAGCACCCTGACACAAAAGTGACCCTGGTCCCATCTCAGGCCAGTAAAACATTGGAATTCCAGGGTGTGTTTTGGGAGCATTCCATATAGATGAATTATTTCTCTAGCAGTTTGGTGAAATCAGTGTGGCTTGCAAAATGAATATAAACCCATCAAATTAACCATGACATACCAACCTAGAACAGTCACTCTCTTGCCTCTGAAAAAAAGTAAACACTGAGTGGGTTTCTTTAAAGCAGCCCTCTCTTTGTACTGACATTTATTGTATCCACATTGTTTTTCCTCTGGTCTGACCCTATCTTTGCTTTCCGTCCCGTCCAGGTGATAGAATGCATCACTCAAGGCCGAGTCTTGCAGCGACCTCGAACGTGCCCCCAGGAAGTCTATGAGCTGATGCTGGGGTGCTGGCAGCGAGAGCCCCACATGAGGAAGAACATCAAGGGCATCCACACCCTCCTTCAGAACTTGGCCAAGGCATCTCCGGTCTACCTGGATATACTAGGCTAGGGCCCTTTCCCCCAGACCGATCCTTCCCAAAGCACCTCCTCAGTTGGGCCGAGAGGATGAACGTCTTTTAACTGCCGCTGGATGCCGTCAATCTGCTGTTCTTCGCTCTGACAGTATTAACTACAAAGACACCGAGAAGCTTTCCGAGGGAAGCAATGTGTACTTCTCCATCCGTAGACACAGTATGGACTTCTTTTTGGCATTATCTCTTTCTCTCTTTCCATCTCCCTTGGTTTATTCCCTAGTTTTTTTTTGTTTGTTTTTCTTTCCTTTATTTTTTGTCTTCCCTGCTTCACAATCCTCACCCTTTCCTTTTTAATCAATCTGGCTTCTGCATTACTATTAACTCTGCATAGACAAAGGCCTTAACAAACCTAATTTGTTATATCAGCAGACACTCCGGTTTGCCCACCACAACTAACAATGCCTTGTTGTATTCCTGCCTTTGATGTGGATGAAAAAAAGGGAAAACAAATATTTGACTTAAACTTTGTCACTTCTGCTGTACAGACATCGAGAGTTTCTATGGATTCACTTCTATTTATTTATTATTATTACTGTTCTTATTGTTTGGGATGGCTTAAGCCTGTGTATGAAAAAGGAAAACTTGTGTTCAATCTGGGAAGCCTTTATCTTTGGGAGATTAAAACCAGAGAGAGAGAAGATTTATTATAAACCGCAGTATGGGAAGAACAAAGACAACCATTGAGATCAGCTGGCGTCAGTCCCAACTTAAGAAAACCCAGCGACTGTTAGCTGGGAACAATGTATTCGGCACCTTCCCCCGAGGACATTTCTGAGGAGTAAAAAGACTGTTGAACTCTGTGCCATGGACTATTCTTTTCCCATCACCGGAAACACTAGAGTGTAGTACAGAGAAAAGATGGCTTCCGGGAGGTAAGATGGCACATCACACGTTCCGACAGTCTTGTCTTTGTAGGCCACGGTGATGGCACTGGTTTGTTTTTCCAAGTGTTATCCACTGAGCCTGTGTCAAGTTCAGTTGAAAGGAGGTGGATTCTTGTCCAGCGATCATTTCAGGGTCAGGTGGGAAAGCCAAGGACTTGGAAAAGATAGGACAAGCTCTAAATTTGGAGGCAAGTTTCTCTTACATTGAACTTTTCAGATAGCACTTCCTTCCAACCCCTAGCCTCCACCCCACCCGTCCTTTTAACTGTGCAAGCAAAACTGTGCATGGTCTTTGTCGATAAAAATATCTTGTGTGCAGAAACTACCGCTCCAGACGTCGTGCCCCAGATATGTAGAGCAGATCCATAAAAGGCATAACTTATATAATTAGGGGAAGCTAATGGAATTCATCAGCTGAGCATAAATGTCTCTGGGTCGTATGGTGGCGATGGGTTTTAACAAATATGGACCCTGAAACCTGGCTATCCTCAACCATGTCACACCCACTGTGGCCCTGTGAGAAGGGCAAAATCAACCCCCAAGGGACAGGAGACCTCACCCACCCTGGGGGTATCACAGGCATTGATGTTCAGTGTACACAGGCCGAGACCTTGCTCTGGGCTCTGGTTGGGAGAGTGGTCGCATTCTAAATGTACTCCATTGTCAATATGCTGTTTTGTTTTTTTCACTGCATTTTAAAAGAAAGTAAAAACAAAAACTTAGGCACAGCATACCCATGGGACACTGTGCCCAGGCCAAGCTTTGGAGGTGTGCTTCTGGGCATAGCCACGGGTTTTGCGAAAAGAGGTTGTAAATTTAAATAGAAATTTACAGTTATCTGGGTGATCAGTTATACCAAGGAAGAAACATTTTTCTGTTCCTCAAGAAAACTTGCTACCCTCTGTGAGGGGAATTTTGCTAACTCGACATCTTTATAACACGAGCCAGATTGAAAGGGAGTGATTTGAATTCAACTTAGGTCATTTTATTTCATATTTGTTTCTGAAGGTGCAATTGCTCTGTTTAAGTTTTGCTTGTGCCCTTAGTTACTGAAGCACCTTATTTTCCATTCTAGACATTGAAAGCCAGTTCTCAAAACATCAAAAGTGTCCATTAACAGAGAACAAAAGGAAATCCAGTAGCATCTGCTGTCAAGTGAAGGGGGTTGGACAAGGCGATGCCCATAGTCCTTTCAGGTTCTGCGCTGCCTATGAGACATGGGAGTTGAATTGTTCTCTTTGTCGGTGACCAAAAACCCTCCAGAACACACATAATAATATAACGAAAGCCATATCTCCATGATATATACCTGCACGTATATATCCCATTAAGGGCCCATGGTACTGTTAAAACACTGTGGCACCCTGTGAAGCAGTAAGAAGAAGCAGATTTGTACAGAACTTTTCTAGATTCCATCAGTGATGACCTGAAAACCTACACAGGTTTGTTATTCTGTGCGACTGGCCAGCTGCTCTGGGGGAAGAAGCTGCAAGTTACTTGTTTTATTTTAACAGAGAGCAAAGGAGGTAATACTCTAAGGGATCAAATTCAAGGAGGGCTGTGCAGTTTTAGAGCAAGGATTTGTTTAAAGCAGATGAGAGGATGGGAGCATTCCCTTCCCCTTCCAGTGTTGTGTTTTCCTCTGAAGGAAAAAAGAAAAAAAAAAAAATTTCTCTTTACCTTCTGACAAGTCCCTCAAGGTCTTGAAATGAAAGGTTCTATGCAAGTGCAAAGTTTTATAGTTATTTATATTGCTGATTATTATTCATTTTTTCCCTCTGTTGTCTCAAGCGTATGTACTGATCACAGAGACGTCTCGCATTGAAAGAATCCCAGATTGCTTTTAAGGTAACCGAATGAACCACAGACTGTCTTCAAGTCTCCATCCCTGTTCCTCCACAATCTCCTCTTCTCATGCTCTTGTAATATTTAGAAAAGGGTCATCCTCATTCTGCAGTGTAAAGATCACAGAGTAGGGCCTGCCATCAGATTCATTAAGAACTACGACAGGAGCGGCGACAAACCTAATTCTCTAGCCTGAACTCATCCTGACAGCTGCTTCCATTTATACGTTGTTTAAGAGTTTCCCAAACACTTTTCACATATGTTGGCAAATTAGTCCCATTTTTTTAAAGGTGAGGAAATTGAGAGTTGGAGAAGTTAAATGGCATGCTAGTATTCTCCAGGCACCTCTGGGACTTAATCTAGGTACTCTGACTCTGATGTTCATGATTTGGTCCACTAGAGACCCTAATATATACACAAGCAGTCCAGGAGAGAAAGCACGCTTAACCAATTCATGAAGCAGGATATGAAGTTAGAAGAGCAAAATGAAATATGTGAGATGCAAGCAGCTGAGATCTCATGACATATAATGATGCTCATAGCTTCAGCGAAATCTTTGTACAATGAACCAGTGTCATAATCAGGCTTATTTAGAAGACATTTTGAACTATGCTATAAAAGACTATATCAGAATTCACATTATATGTTCACATCGCTCCCTGTGGTATTTCCATGTATTTATATGTGTGTTATAAATACTAGATTTATACATAGACAAACACACGTGCATAGTGTGTTTGTGAGCTTATGTATAAATTTATAGGCACACAGTAATAGAGATAATTATAAGTAGGGTGCAGTATGAATAATTTGCTTAAAATCTGCTAAATAACCAAAACTTTTTTAATGTCATGTTGCTGTTCATGCTTCCTTTCTCCATGTGGGTAGGACCCCATCACACTTTTCGACTCTCTGCAATACTGCATGGGTGGAAGACATATTTAAGATAATGTGCTTCCCAAACACATTATCACAAAACAACTAAATCAAACCCATCCCACTACATTGAGTCCTTCCTCTGGCTCCCTGCAAAGGAAAATGCAGCCGGAAATATATCTCCTTATGTAAAGGTCCAGAAAAGGAAAACTGATTTTTTTTTTTAAATCCTTTTGCACATTTATTTGTATTATGCTCACCTGTCCCACTGTGACCCCTTTACACTCGTGTTCAGAGTCCAAGCATTCCAGAAGAGAACTGGGCTGTTGGGAGCCCAGTGTCTTGAAGGCCAAAGGTGAGAATCCAAGACTCCACTGTGAGGCGAGTGACTCTTAGGAATTCCCACATCCTAGCGGAATGCAAGAGGCAGCAGTGTCAAATGCTGGCCTTTGCAAAGAGCCATGACAACAGGATCCCCTGTTGTCAGGGGATAGAAGTCAGGAATAGACTTCTTTTTTTTAAACTTGCCCTTTTGTAAATTGGACCTTCTATAATGCCAATAGCATTAAATTGTGTATCTAATTAAATAAATGACTGCAGACACACATAGTCTCAATTCCCTTGCTCTTTCTTTTCTTTTTTTCCCATTTGAGGACTTTTGTTTCCAGTGTGGAGCTTCGGTTTGGCCCTATATCACTGCTACAGAAAATCTCACTAGGGGGATGGCCAGTGACCCACCTACTCAGGTGGCTAAGTGAGCAATTAAAGCAGTTTCCTCACAATTCGTAATGGTGGGATGCTGAGACTCCGAGGTTGAGACAGCAAATGATATTCTAAAGAATTTACGGTGGAAGGGATTTGTAGCAAAATATGACAGCATATGAAGGGGTATTTTCTCGTTTGTCAGGGCTGGAATGAATCACTGCTGCTATAAGTCAAAGGTTCTCGAATATCCTTAATTTTTGTATTTATTTCCTTTTTTTTCTTTTACCTTTATTTAAGTATTTATTTATATATATATTTATTTCTTTGATTCATTCCTCACAGAAACAAAGCGAAGAAAAAAATATATATATATATATATATATATGTATATGTGTTGCAGGCAAAACACTGTGAATTTCACAAGAGCAACCAAGCAACTCTTTTGCCATCTTAACATACGTCTCAGGAGACACAATGGGAAAACATGGGATGTCATTTTTTTTAGTCTATGCATTCTAGGCCAGGTCTGTGTTTGTTTTATTTCTTTGGTCTGTACATTAACGAAAATGATCCTGAGTGAAGGTTGGCCGAATGTCCAACATGCTGGAGCAAGTATAACTAAAGCTGCTAATTGCCACAGGTTTGAACTGGAAAAAAAATTTGGAGAAAATGAAATGTAAAGGCCTACATTTTGCAAGTTGTATATCTTCCTATTGCTTTAAAAATGTAAAAAAAAAAAAAAAAAAAACACTGGAAATGTTTAAATACAAGGTCTCTGAATTAAATGTGGATTTTGAATATATAATCCCTTGATAAATGACCAAATTATGGTGAAATATTGCTCCCTGCGTTCATTAATCATTATCCATCACTAACAAATCTGCCTAGAGGTGTGGACAGTCTCCGCATTTGCTTCTGTACATGGAGAGATGTTTGTATATATCCGGGCCGTATCCACACACACATTTCAATACCTCTCTGAAGATGTATTGCCCCTTTCATTGTGACCTGGTATTTGAAACCCCCTTTTCATTTGCTTTATTTTCCTTTTAATGTGACGTCTCTGTGCTGATAGTTGCTGGTTCTTGTTGTGCAATCTGTTTGGAGGGTCCATTGCTTTATTAAGACCCACTGCATCTTGGCTGATTTCAAAGTGACACCAGAATATCAGTGTTTAAAAAAAAAAAAAAAAGTCTTGTCTGTAAATCATGTGACCAGCTTCTCTCAACCTGACATGGAAAGTCTCTTGTACTACAGTGTACTAATAAAAATGATGTCTTAAAATAAATAACATCCTCTAAAAGAGACACTAAAAGTGACATGGTGATTACTAGAACTTTCACAAGGCATGGTGTGCTCTTTTGTCTGTCTGTCCGTATGTATGTACTTTAGATAAGGTCACTGCAGGTGACTGCCGTGTTCATCAGTTGAAGCAACGAGAGTACAAGTCCCCTGACTGATCCCTCCATAACCTGACATTTTCACCTTCTATCTTGGATAACTAGAACATCACTGCCCAGTAGAACTTTCTACAATGATAGAAATGTTTTATCTGCACTGTCCAATATGGCCAGTAGGCACTTGACCTGCAGCCAGTGAGACTAAGAGCTGAATTTTAAATGTGATTTAATTTCAATTAGTTTACATTTAAATAGCCACACGGGGCTCATGACTACCATGTGAGACAGCACAGGGTGAGCAGACAGAATCACCAGGATTTCTAACAGATCAGAGCTAAGAAACCTACCATAAAAGAAATGTTGTGAATCGTGGCCTAGGGTTGGGGCAGCTTTGAGAATCATAATGACCCAGGAGCAGAGGTAGCCAAATAGAAAATGCCACATCCTCTCGGTCTCTCTGTTAACCAGTGTTTCCTAAAAGGTGAAGGAGGACAAAAGAAGGGTGGTTTCACGGGGATCCTGCAGCCTGTCTCTTCCTGGCCATCAGAGCAGCCCACCCACATTTGTATTTCTCAGAGTCACAGTCGTGTTTCCCACTGTCTGACCGTTTCCCCTCCATCTCCTCTGAGAGGCACAGAAGGCTTCTGGGCAGCATACCTGATGGAGGCTTCAGGAATGTAGAGTTTGCCAGCAGACTGTCCTCAAATCAAACTCCTCAGGAACTTTGCCCGTGAAAACCCCTCTTACTGGCTCAGGTATATTTTCCTTGAGTTAAAAAAATACAACCCAGGGCTTCCCTGGTGGCGCAGTGGTTGAGAGTCTGCCTGCCGATGCAGGGGACACGGGTTCGTGCCCCGGTCCGGGAGGATCCCACATGCTGCGGAGCAGCTAGGCCCGTGAGCCATGGCCGCTGAGCCTGCGCATCCGGAGCCTGTGCTCCGCAATGGGAGAGGCCACAACAGTGAGAGGCCCGCATACCGCAAAAAAATACAACCCAGTTAAACTCAGCAGAGACTTGGGGAATTCAAAGCTGTGCAAGGGGGGAAAACAACTCGTCTAAAAATCCAAGTACGAACATGTATTGTTGCTGTGGGATTGAAGTGTGTATCCCACTCAAAGAAACAGGATTAAAGAACAAAAGTTAAACCACTGATGACTTGGCCAGTGGATTATTTGGATTATTAAAGATCTACACCTCTACCAGACAACGTTTTTATATTCTTATTATTTGTATGTTTATAATCAGTAATCAGTTAAATTCCAAACCTGAAGTCAAGTTCTCCAGAGCCTGCTGTTTTGTAGACCCTGTCTCATTTTCTCCCTCAGATACACTTTTTTAGTTCACTCTTGAGGATGCCTAATTGCTTGGCTAGGAACACTTCTCAGGTACTGTGATTAACAACCTCATTCAAACAGGCATCCTTACCTTTAGAACAAATTGACTAATAGAACAAATGCTTACTGCATGCCAGGGTGTTATGTATGTTGTGTTCTTGCTGTAACAAATCACCACACACTGAGTGGCTTAAAACAACAGAAATGTGTTCTCTCACAGTTCTGAAGGCCAGAGGTCTGAAACTGAGGTGTCAGCGGGGCCGCACTCCCTCTGGAGACCCTCAGGGAGAATCTGTTCTTTACCTGTTCCAGCCTCTGGGGGCTCCAGATGTTCCTTGGCTTGTGGCCGCATCACTCCAATCTCTGCCTCGGCGGCCACATTGCCTTCTCCTCTTCTTCCTGTGTCCTCTCCTCTGTGTGTGTGGCTTGGAAGGATACATGTGGTTGCATTTAAGGCCCACCGGGGATAATCCAGGAAAAGCTCTCCCTCACTCTTTTGCCTTATCAGGTCACGTTCCCAGGTTCCAGGGATTATTACGTGGACATATCTTTTTGAAGGCCACCATTTAAACCTCTACAGTATGTTAACTCACCCAGCTCTTACGTCAACACTGGGAGGTAGGTACTATTATGATCCGCAGTTTACAGATGAGAAAACTGAGGCACTGAGAGTTAAGGAAGTTGCCAAAAAGGTAGGTCAAAAGAAATTGACCGGCAAATGTAGTGTTTACTACTTGCCATAAAGGTAGTCATTGAATCCTGAAAACAAGGGAGGAACTCAGGGGTTTCCACTCCAGGCAATAGGCAGAAATGCAGGCACCTGGCTGGCCCCCAGAAGCCTGCAGCTGGGGTTTGGGCTCACCACGTGGCATGGTGTTGAGAGTCTGGGCTCCAGGCCCCTCAGAGACTGGTAAAAACAATTCAACATCCCAGCCCTGTAGGAATGGGCTTATCAGTGGGATCTAATGCCAAGATTCAAGGTTCCAAGAGGCTAGAGAGTTTCTAGGAAGTTAAACCTGGAGTGTAGGGATTTCGGTCACTAGGGATGAGGTAAGAATTTGGCCCCAAATCTGGCAAGGTCTTTGGTGCTTTCCTAGACCCATTGCTCCTTTTCCCTCTTCCCACCACTCATCAGCCTCGGGGAGGGGGAGCCTACAGTGGAAGCAGCTTCATAGTAGCGGGTTCTGAGGCTTTCAGTGACATGAGACTATCTCTCTGCGAATCTGTATTTCCTGAATGTCAGGATCTTCATCAGGCTCCCATGGTTAGAGCTATATGAGAGCTAAACATCCCGTCCCACCTGCCATCTACAGGTGGTGCTTTACAAGGATTGCCAGGTTCAGACCAAATTCATCCAACAAGCAATGATTTATTACAAGCCTGCAATGTAGGCCCAGAAACTTCCCTTGCCTGACCTTGCATGGAAGTCACAGATGCAAAGATATACTGATGCCAGGACCAGCCTGGCCTCTGTTCAGGTGACAGGGAGGGACAACGGAAGACCCAGGGAGCTCTGGTCACTGAGAGCTGCATTCCTGGCATTAGAGAGCTGGGCTTTGCCAGATTCTTCTGCCTCCTTCATGCAGGAATGATGACACTTGTACAATAATTCTAATAAATATTCAATCTTCAGGATCAGTCACTTCACATACATACAAAAATCTATGTCCCTTATCCTAATTAGCAAACTATGTGATATTGATAACGTTATTTTAAATACCAGTTAACTACTAAAGTCACTTCTCACATGGGCACTGCATATGTCATCTATAGTACATCCGTGTATCACTAGGTACGTCATGATATCTAATCACTTCTAGTGTATAGGCTATATTTGTACACACACATCACATTGTATACCCTAATTTTAAAGTCACACAGATGCTATAACAACCTCCCTATGGACAACTACAGCCTCTTCTCCTGTAGCAGGTACGTATGGATTTGTAGATACAAGCCTATGCATGGGAAATGCCGCTTTCTTCATTTCCTTTAAATCAGGCCATATTTGACTCAAGTCCACATCCTGCAGGGGCAAAACCAATCTCAGCAATTACTGGGTGTGACTCCCCTTCCTAGGGTATCCTTTGGATCTCAACGTTCATTGATACCCAGGAAATACGAGAAGGGCTTCACATTTACTGTCCATCACAATCCAGTGGCTCTGGTGCCAGAGCTGAGAGCCTTGCCTCTAGGACAGATGTCCTCTGACACACTGCAGCGCCCCCCCCAAGGGCCACCAACCCCTCACACTCGATCCACTAGGTATGATGGCTATCTACTCTCAAGATGAGTCACAAGGCCTTAATTTGGCTTTTAGTTTCCTTTGGCTTCTGGAGAGTTTGTTCTATTTCACCAAGCATGTGTATGTGAACAAGATGGAAGCCTTGTGTACTTGTTCCGTCTTCCATCTTCTCTGGAAATCTCAACGCTTTCTTCCTGCATTTAGATGAGGATTCTCTTCACACAGTCCTATTTTTCTGGCAAGAGCAGTTATTGTTGTGGATCAGAATCACTTAGAGAACTTTGAAAAATGTAGACGCCAAAGCC